TGGGTGTTAGAATCATTACTGTGTAATCTAGCATATTGACTCTAGTGCAAGTGGGAGACTGAAGGAAATATGCCTTAGAGGCAATAATAAAGTTGTTATTTATATTTCCTTATATCATGATAAATGTTTATTATTCATGCTAGAATTGTATTAACCGGAAACTTAGTACATGTGTGAATACATAGACAAACAGAGTGTCACTAGTATGCCTCTACTTGACTAGCTCGTTGAATCAAAGATGGTTAAGTTTCCTAGTCATAGACACGAGTTGTTATTTGATTAACGGGATCACATATTTAGAGAATGATGTGATTGACTTGACCCATTCCGTTAGCTTAGCACTTGATCGTTTAGTATATTGCTATTGCTTTCTTCATGACTTATACATGTTCCTATGACTATGAGATTATGCAACTCCCGAACACCGGAGGAACACTTTGTGTGCTACCAAACATCACAACGTAACTGGGTGATTATAAAGGTGCTCTACAGGTGTCTCCGGTGGTACTTGTTGAGTTGGCATAGATCGAGATTAGGATTTGTCACTCCGATTGTCGGAGAGGTATATGTGGGCCCTCTCGGTAATGCACATCACTATAAGCCTTGCAAGCAATGTGACTAATGAGTTAGTTGCGGGATGATTCATTACAGAATGAGTAAAGAGACTTGACGGTAACGAGATTGAACTAGGTATTGAGATACCAACGATCTAATCTTGGGCAAGTAACATACGGATGACAAAGGGAACAACGTATGTTGTTATGTGGTTTGACCGATAAAGATCTTCGTAGAATATGTGGGAGCCAATATGAGCATCCAGGTTCCGCTATTGGTTATTGACCAGAGATGTGTCCCGGTCATGTCTACATAGTTCTCGAACCCGTAGGGTCCGCACGCTTAACGTTTTGTGATGATCGGTATTATGAGTTTATGTGTTTTGATGTACCGAAGGTTTTTCGGAGTCCGGGATGTGATCACGGACATGACGAGGAGTCCCGAAATGGTTGAGACATAAAGATCGATATATTGTATGGCTATGTTTGGACATCAGAATGGTTCCGGATGAGTTCGGGCATTTACCGGAGTACCGGGAGGTTACCGGAACCCCTCGGGGAGTGTATGGGCCTTATTGGGCCTTAGTGGGAGAGAGGAGGAGGCGGCCTAGGAGCCCCCCCCCCAAGCCCAATCCAAATTGGGAGGGGGGCTGGCCCCCCTTTCCTTCCTCCCTCTCTCCTCCTTCCTTCCTCTCCTACTCCTACTTGGAAGGGGGGGGGGGGAATCCTACTCCCGGTGGGAGTAGGACTCCCCTAGGGCGCGCCATAGAGGGGGTTGGCCCTCCCCCTCCTCCACTCCTTTATATACAGGGTAGGGGGCACCCCATAGACACACAAGTTGATCATTGATCTCTTAGATGTGTGCGGTGCCCCCCTCCACCATAATCCACCTTGGTCATATCGTTGCAGTGCTTAGGCGATGCCCTGCGCTGGTAGCTTCATCATCACCATCATCACGCCGTCGTGCTGACGAAGCTCTCCCTCGACACTATGCTGGATCGTGAGTTCATGGGATGTCACCGAGCCGAACGTGTGCAGATCGCGGAGGTGCCGTACTTTCGGTACTAGGATCGGTCGATCGTGAAGACGTACGACTACATCAACCGCGTTGTCATAACGCTTTCGCTTACGGTCTACGAGGGTACGTGGACAACTCTCTCCCCTCTCATTGCTATGCATCACCATGATCTTGCGTGTGCGTAGGAATTTTTTGAAATTACTACGTTCCCCAACACACCCCTCTTTCCCTCTCCCTCTCCCTCTCCTTCCTTCTTCGCCCCTTCCACCAAGTGGAATCCTACTAGGACTTAGAGTCATAGTAGGACTCCTCTCCTTGGGGCGCGCCTCTAGGGGTCGGCCGGCCTCCTCCCTCCCTCCTTTATATACAGGGGAGGGGGCACCCTGTAGACACACAAGTTGATCTTTTAGCCGTGTGCGGTGCCCCCCTCCATAGAAACACACCTCGGTCATATCATTGTAGTGCTTAGGCGAAGCCCTACGCCGGTAACTTCATCATCACCGTCACCATGCCATCGTGCTGACGAAACTCTCCCTTAGCCTCAACTGGATCAAGAGTTTGAGGGACGTCACCGAGATGAATGTGTGCAGATCGCGGAGGTGCCGTGCGTTCAGTACTTGGGTCGGTTGGATCGCGAAGACGTTCGACTACATCAACCGCGTTACTAAACGCTTCCGCTTTCGGTCTACAAGGGTACGTGGACACACTCTCCCCGCTCGTTGCTATGCTTCTCCTAGATAGATCTTGCATGATCGTAGGATTTTTTTTGAAATACTACCTTCCCCAACAGTGCCCACCAGTTCTCCGTTAAGGAGGGAGCGGTGCGAAGCTCTGCTATCTGTTGCCATCACGGGATATGTTTAGTTCCATGATGAAGTCAGAGGTGGGGAACGTCATGGAAGCCGAGAACGGAGGAATGGTAATGGTGATTGGAGCCGTTGTGGCGATGAGGAACTTGCTTGGAGTTTCGGATTTTGTAGCAGCGGTATGTAAGTGGGGGCAGCAGCACAGGTGCAATTCAAAGTCTTACCTCTCAGGGTGAAAATCCAAGGCCTGGCCTTAATTGGTTGTGCCTAGCAATGGTCTTGTTGAAGGCACTGTTTTGAGAGCGGGGACTATCTTCAGGGTGAAAACCCAAGATCTACGATCGGGTGACGACGACGCTTGTGCACTGTTTCCTTCTTTGAGGCGTCACTTTTGAAGAACTTGGACTTCAAGTGTTGTTTTGGTGGTGGTTGTACTATTGCTGCATGGACTGAAATTCTGTAGCGGGGCTTTTCTTTTTTAGCTTCTTCTTTTTTTTGGCTGTATGCATCCGTGATGCCATTAGGGTATTGCCTTGGTGTAGAGGCCGGATGTAATTGGTATCTTTGCGATATTAATATATGGAAAGAACTAACGCCCCACGTGTGGCATCTTGCACATCGCCCACACACCTTCATCACCATTCATTTTACCACGTACTCCCTCCGTTCCAAAATAGATGACTCAACTTTGTACTAACTTTACTATAAAGTTGAGTCATCTATTTTGGAACGAAGGGAGTATGAACAGATGACATCAGCAGGAATCTTTTTGGTTTTCGGCTTAAAAATGTTTTATCTCCTAATTAAAAAATCGAATTAAAAATTCGTTTTCATCATTAAATCCGTCTCGACGAGATCTTCAAACTAGACCACATTTTGATATGTTTCGACGAAATTTCTTTTGCCCAAAAGTTGCCATGATGTTTACACTATAGTTGCCATAGCGCTTAAAATAAAGTTGCCATGTGGCAATTTTAGTTTGTAGAGCATGACAATTTTAGTTTTTTGATGATGGCAATTCCAGTACTTTGACCCTGAAATTTATTTTTTGTATGAACCATGGCAATTTTAAGTGCATGTATCATGGCAATTTTAGTTTATGGTTCATGGCAAGTCTAGTTTCTTAATTTCCCGTTTTATAATATGTCAAAAATTACTTTTAAAACGGATCTTCAATCGGATTTTTCATTTAAGAGATAAAACATTTTAAAAATTGAAAATCCAAAAAGATTCTCACATGCATGCATGCGGTGACGTGACACAATATATGTGTTATAGGGCTGGTTTGGCTTCCACCACACATATGGGCGTTAGCGTTGTCCTAATATATTCCCGTTATCGAAAAATAGAACAAGCAGACATGCTTTACGTCTACACACGTGGTAGCCAGCAAGCATTTGGTAGGTACATACTTGCAAGAAACAAATGACCACAATATTAATCCCCTAGAATTATCAACATACTTTACGTTACTGATTTGCCGTGTTTTAATTTGGAGGGAGTACCATTGTTTTATTTTATTTTAGCAACTCTTAATTTTCATCATAATCATCTCAAGTCTTGCAGATACCAAATTAGTCAATTCACTCAAGACTAGTGACAGCTTGAGTGTGACCTGAACACTAATCATACACTCGACTTTACTTTTCGTCAGCCGATATAAAGTACAGTACTCCCTTTATTCACAAATATAAGATGTTTTAACTTTTTTCTAAATCCAATGTATATAGGCATGTTTTAATGTGTTTGTTCACTCACTTCAATCCATATGTAATTTATATTGAAATTCAGATATCTTATATTTATGCATGGAGGGAGTGGGATAATACTTTCGACAAATTGTGTTTCAATCAGCCTATGCACTTATAGGACGCTACTGGTTGGAGCTGTCATTGCGGGCCGCTTAAAAGAAAGCTTGATGCCGTTTCTTCATATTATAAAGAAAAAAACCTCACCTTCATCTCAAAAAATTTATAAAAGCTTTCTCGCATTATGTGGACATTACATCCATCTCAAGAAAAAACCTAGAAAAACTTTTTTCAAAAAGGAAAAAAATCATCATTTTCATCTTCCAAAAATAAACATAAAAACTTCCTCACCGCGGCCAACCAGCATACGCCACGTGGCGTAGCTGAATGGTCACACTTTCACTCTGCCTCAATGAGTTTGATAATTTTTCACAAGCATTGCAAAAGAAAAGATGTTAGAGCCGCAGAGTAAGCACTGAAATCCACCCCCCTCCACACACACATTTTATGTCATCGTCGCCGCGAAGGCGTCTCCTCCGACTGTTACTACAACAAGGTTTTTTCGGCTTCAGTGAGGGAGGGGCGATGACGGCGGTGCGCCTTCGGCTCGCTCCAGTGCTTATAGTCGTCGCTAGGTGGTCTATGAACCTGGATGTATTTATTTTACTTCTAGTGTTCTTTGTACTATTTTGCCAGTTGATGAATAGATTAAAAGTTTTTCTCGCAAAAAAGGCCTTTTCTCCGGCAAAAATACGTTTCTAACATAGGAAAGACGTCTCTGCTTCTTAACATCTTCCCAACCGAACGGCGGCGTGCACCCAGCAAACCCCACCCGTCGTCCGCGCCCACCTCACTCCCCCCTTGCGTCTCCTCCATGGGAGTCTTGCCATGGAGCTGCCGCTGTGGACTCAACCCCACCCCCAGCAAGAACAGGGGTGCGCCCGCGCGTCCTCCTCCTCCTCCTCCTGGTACAGCCTCAGTTCCCTTCACCATTTCTCCGTTCGCTTCTCCTCTAAGTCTAAGCTGTCCTGATATTCTTACCATTTCCTGATTTCCCCCCTCCAATGCTGTTTTTTACTGTCTGATGCTCCCTGTTCTTCAGCTGCCCGAGTAAGGAGGTCCAAATACACGGGACAATCTGTGGTAAGAAGCTCAGAGAAGAATTTTTGCAACTTTTCAGTTCAGTTATCCTCAACATCGCTGTCGTTATCGGTTTAGTTACCCCCAAGAAAAATCACCCACTTTGTGCAATTGTTTCTCCGGTGGTACTTGAAGGAAGATCTAGCTCTGTTTGTTCGTACTAGACTTACTTACCTTCATAAAGTTCACAGTAGAATTTAATTGAACAAGACAGCAGAAACGAAAATGCTTTCAGAATCAGAGGTACATATATCCCGCAATCTGTACTCTGTGGTACATCATCTGAAGATATTGTCTTTCATCCATATATAAGGGCCATACTGTATTGTCGAGATAATGACCAAATTTGTGAGTTCAGTTGGGTTTATAAATTCTGTTTCTGTTGGTCCATGTTTGCAGAGAGCAATGCCTATGCGCGTGCTGACAGTTGGCAAGAAGAGGTCTCAGGGGACACAACTTCTTGTTGAAGAGTACAAGGAGAAACTCGGTCACTACTGCGATGTTGAGGACACCCTCATCAAATCCAACCCAAAACTCACAAGGTATGACATGTTGTATGATGCTATGAACATTATGGTCAATGCATCCCCAGAGGCTATTTCTCACTGTTCTGTGGATACCTAGTACATGCTCCCTATCACTATATTGTTTTACTGTACCGTGAGATTTTCTGCTGTTGGTGGACTGGCTTTCAACTGGCAAATTTACACCTCATTGGAAACTGTGAACTTCTTATTCTGCTGTTTGTTTGATTGTTCCTGATGAATTTGATTGTTGATGCTGGCCCCTGATATTCTGTTGTTTTCACTTTTCAGCGATGTTAAGGTGCAAATTGAAGCAGAAGATGCGTCTATGATGCAGCAGCTCAAGGCTGAAGATTTTGTATGTTTCGGTGCTTTCTTGTATTTACCTGATAAATACCTCACCCATCCATTAGGTTCTAGCAGTCTAATTGTCCTGATGTTAGTGTGCATGATTAGGTTGTTGTGTTGGATGAAAACGGGAAGGATGTCATGTCTGAGCAGATAGCTGATCTGATTGGGGATGCTGGCAACACGGTATGCTCTGCACTTCGGTTAATCGGATATTCAGTAGCCAACTACTTAGTTTTAAAGTTCAAGCTGCTGGAAATTTCTTGGGAGAACTATTTTTTATTTCAAAAAAAAAATCTTGGGAGAACATACTCACTGATAATACGTTTGCCCAAATGTTTTAGGGATCGTCAAGGCTCACATTTTGTATTGGCGGGCCATATGGTCTTGGAATACAAGTACGAGAGCGGGCGGATGCAACAATTAGGTTATCCTCACTGGTTTTGAACCACCAAGTCGCTTTAATAGTTCTAATGGAGCAGCTCTACAGGTGAACAACGAGCCTCTGCAACGCAGTGATGCCATTCCTGCGTTTGAACATACTTTCTTAATTTTCCACGTCAACTCTAGTGATATGGCATGTAGAATCAATGCATCGTCAGTGTAACACAGGTAAATATTGGTTGGCACGCATATTTATCAGTGTCAGCAAATGTTTGCTGCTAATTGTGATATCAATCAATTTTTCATTCGGTGTCATAATTTTGCAGGGCGTGGACAATCATCAAAGGACAAAAGTATCATCACTAGATTTGAGTTGCAATGGCATCATCTGCTGCTCTTTGCATGCGCGGCCACCCAATTCCACCACCTGATCCGCTGTAGGCAGTTTTTTGCTTCTCCGGTTTTTTGTTAGACTAGTAAACATGTACGTGCAATGCACGTCTTTACCAACATATATTTTGTAATTTAACGTGTCATAATGCAAGAATAAAATTTATACACCATTTCAACCACATAAATTATCGTCAAATTATAGTGTGCTTCCAATGTTCTTGTTGATGTTCAGAGTACCACAGTCATGTTTCGGGGTAGCAATAATATGATGTTTCAAGTTGTTAAAATAAATCCGAGGCGCATCTTCGATCTACCAAGTTCCAAGCAATCGCACAAGCACGACACCGAGATTTGTTAACGAGGTTCACCATCATGGCTACATCCCCGGGGCCTGACTACAGGCGCTCCTCCCCATGACATCGCTACAATACCGCACACCGGCTGCCCGGGCGCCGGCACACGCCGCCGGCTCCCCCGCGTGCATGTGCTATTATGTTGGCATAGATTACATCGTGTGTCCACCCCCTCATTGTATAAGAGGCCAAGGATACAAGTGTCCAATTAGGACACGACTCTATATCCTATTTACACACAATACAAATCAGAGTTCAACTATAACCTAACTTGTATAGTAATATTCGACACAATTCTAACACAAGAAAGGGTTAGGTCTAAAGATCACAAGAAATACACAAGGAACAATTTCAATAATAGCAAGGAACTTAAGGCATAACAAATACATGACCAAGTCTGTGTTGGAAGGAAGATAAGGATGTTGTCGATGACAACACAAATTATCGAGGGGCTTTATGACGAGGTAGTAGGAAGGTGACATGATCAAAATGAAAGATATGATGAAGCAGAAGGTCAATGGAACTACATATATGACACAAACTCAGAATCAATCTTGGTGTACAAGGTGAAATTATATGACGAAGAAGCTCCACATAAGCTTAGCTCATCGTCAAAAATTGTGCTCCGGGAAGGACCAGGTAGCACAGTTAAAATTATCACAATAATGATTTAGCCGATTAGGCTAGGAATGACATGATTGAGTTTAAATTTCTAAGCAACTAAAACTATTAGGGGTATTGAATTGTATTGTGGATTCGATTCACTCGTCGCCGTTCTTGAGTAACGAATAACTCAGAACCCGTGAAATGACTAAAACGGTGGGAAGTATTACTTCAGCAAGAATCCATAAGAGGTAGTGCAATGGCACGATATCCCCGAGATAACAGAGGGCAATTCTCGAAAGTACAATAGAATAGAAGGTGAACTGGATCGTTAAAATAGACGGGGCACAGGAAATGATTACTCTTAGATATATCGAATGATGACAGGATGGTCGAAACCATAACTACATGGGATCAAATTAAAGATACCAGAAGAATTATGCAAATGAATAAATATTTTTATGAGAAGGTCCCATGATAAGCTCCACATCGTGTCCATGAGCATGACCATAAATGTTCAAGGTCGACTCCCACTTCTTCAATGCACAACTTTCCATTAACTTCTCATTTTGGAAAAGGCATTAGTGTTGAACGTTTTACCTGGAGAAACACCAGAAGAGTATGACACGTAAAAGTTTCCAAGTTCACACTGATTGCAGAAACCACATGTACAATCCATCGAAGGAATATTTGGAACTTATACCACAACAACATAAATAATAGATACAATCTTGAAAGAAGAGTACAGACGGCAAAAGCAGAGGATACAATTTGCAAAGGCATCTTGTATCAGGGGAGAACTCAAGGTTTTTGAGTATGAAGGATACCGTCGGATAATAATACACCAAAGGATCATGTGATCCATGAGGACTGATGATGTAAGGATTAAACAAATGGCTCCACATTAGAGTCCATCGAGAGAAGAGAGAATGCAAGGACATCGATTTATGGAAACATCTGAATAACCCAAAATATAACATACAGAGGAATTATGATTTTCCAATAACGTGAGATGAGAAGCAGATCAAGCTGAACAAACTTAGTTGCACAATCAATCAAGGCTTTGATTGGCCGAAAACCAACTCGTGTCTAAAATGACGTCTGAGCCCCCCTAGGCGATCCTCCTCTGCACCGGTGGCCACTTTGGCTCCGGCGGCCACCACCCTCTTCGCCGGCTGTGACCCTCTTGGAGTCAAGGATGGCTGGTCAGCCCTCAACTTCGCTAGAGGTAAATAGTTTCAACTTGCCATGGGGAAAAAGTTTGGACATCCTGTGGTTTTCTCCCCAGGTTTTCACTTTCAAGCTCGTGGTTTCTTTCTGTAGGGCCAACTTTCATCTGGATTGTCACACTGTTAGGCCTTTTTTGGATTGGAGGATTTTCATAGGATTTTCACGGGATATCAATCCTCAGGATTGTTTCTTATGAAACGCATTTGGATCACAGGATTGGGTCATTAAAATTCCTTAGGATTGGGACTCCAAGGTGCTGATTTCAGAGGAATTTACACATGAGGTCCGATCTCTGGAAAAATTCCATAGGATTGGCTATGGCATGGCAATCAAATCCTCCATTTTTCCTATTCCTTTGTTTTGCAGATCCTGTGATCCAAAGAAGCCGTTAGCGTTGCTTTACATTCTTGTTTTGGAGGCTACCCACAAGGTTTTCAGGTCAAGTTCTTGAAGGATAGGTCATTTCATTTTTTCCGTGGCTTCCAAATCAGAGGGTTTTGAGATATACAATGCCGGTAGAATTTTAGAATCAGATTTTGAGTTGGTATTCAATCTGTGGGGTGGGGGGGGGTCCAAAGCGGAGGCGGGAGGAATGCTGCTTTTACCAGGAAGAAGATGCCTCCTGGACCTTGGTCACCAGAAATTCGTCCATCAATTTTTCAGAGGCTTTCATTCCAGATTGAGCCATCATCGTTCCTGGATCAACCAGTGGTTAATTCGCCGGTTAATGTGCGAGTAAATAATGTCGCTCGAAGACTCTTTTTCTCGTATGGAGTTCTTTGGATTTGAGAGAGGGGAATGGAGAGAATACCATCCGAAGAAACCATGTAGCTCGGAGACTCTTGTCCTCGTATGGAGTTCTTTGGATTTGAGAGAGGGGACTGGGGAGAGACGAAGTGGACTGACAGTAACTACGAGTTCCCGTCCTCTTGTTTTTTGAGACAAACTCGTGAAACTTTATTCAACCGCCACAATGTTTACAGGGACGAACAAGAGATCGCCGGGTGGCCTAACCAGACATGGCGACCGGTCCCCAACATTAACGCATGTTTTGCGAGGTTGTGGGCCTCAAAGTTCGAGGTCCAAAATTCATGGCTAAAAATGCAAGAAGTAAAAAAACTAGCTCTCTCCGTTATTTCGTGCACCACTGCTCCGTAAGATGTTGTTGTTCCTCCTCTGATTGCCTCCACCGCTGCCATACAGTCCGAGGCGATGAAAACTTCATGCTCGTACAGATCCTCCACAAGCGCCATTGCTTCCCTGTTAGCGAGTACTTCCAGAACCTCCGGGTCTTCTATGTTTCTGAATATGACTGCCGATGCCCCCTGATATATCCCAGCTGCATCGTGGCAAATCGCTCCCACAACACCAAAACCACCTGAACGTGACACGGTAACATCAACGTTAATTTTAACATGATCCTCCGGTGGAGGCTACCACGTGGCTGGGCGAATAGTTGGTGCAGCCACCGTCCTCTCAACAGGCTTCCGTATTTGCTTCAACTCTGCGATGTAGCTAGTAATGAAACCGTGAGTTGAGAAAGGAGTTTTGTAAATGCCTTCATGGATTATCTTTCTCCTCGCTGCCCAAATAGCCCATAGCGTAACAATCATGGTAGTAAACTCCTCGTGAGGAAGCGATTCACTCATTAGAAACAACCAACTCTTCGCTTGTTCATCTCTATGTAAGCACATATGTTGCACCATGTCTTCATCTGATAGAGCCCACACGCACCTGGCGTAGTTGCAGTCAATCAGAGAATGGCGCCAGTTGTCCTCTGCTCCACATAAGGCACAAACATGGGAGGACGACATGTTTCGGTTGTGTAGTACATCACTAGTGAGAAGTGAATGGCAAGCCAACCTCCAAGTGAATATTTTCAGCTTCGATGGAAGTTGCAAACCCCATACAGATGACCATCCCTTGGTTTCTCCACCGGACATCTCCTCGGCCTCCTCTAGCCAGGCTTCCCTTCCCATCTTCATTCTATGTATCAGTTTGTAGGCTGAGCTAACTGAGAATCGCCCCTTCGGGTCACCCGACCATGCCCAGAAATCATAAACTTGCCTTGTGCACAAGGAAATCTTCAGAATTGCCTCAGCCTCAACTATAACAAAGACTTGACGAACTAGATCCTCTCTCCAGCATGCCATGGTTGGTTCGATGAGAGCACTCACTAGCTGCAGAGCATCAGCCACCCAAGGTGTAAACGATTTCATTAGTCCACTTCTAGGGATCCAGTTATGATGCCAGATACTAGTTGTTGCACCATCTCCAATGCGCCTGATGATCCCATGGTTCAACACATTCCTCCCATCAAGAATCGAGCGGCAGACTTGCGATGGATGGGGGCCTAGGTCCGCTTCCAGTATGGTCGCCGTTGGGTAGTAAACGACCTTAAGAATGCGAGCACTGAGGGAGTCTGGTTCTTGTAATAGTCGCCAAGCCTGCCTTGACAGTAGCGCAACAGTGAAAATCTCAAGATCATGAAAACCAAGACCACCCAGGTTCTTTGGCCTCGTTATGACATCCCAGGAGACCCAACATGGCTTCCTCTTACCCTGTTTACTACCCCACCAAAACTGCCGAATGATGGAGGTGACGCTCTCACGAACTCCTCTAGGAAGCCTGAAGCAAGACATTGAAAAGATAGGGATCGATTGTGCAACCGATTTGATGAGGACTTCCTTCCCCCTACTGACAGCATTTTCTGCATCCATCCTCTCACCTTTTCCCAAACACTATCCTGAAGGTACTTGAATGTGCCATTCTTGGAGTGACCAACAT